TGTTCAGATGATTCTTCCCGTTGTTTAACACAAAGCACTTGCTCCCAAAAATATGGAAATATGATATATTAGGCTTTCTCCCGTTCCACAGTTCATAGGGAGTTTTGTTGTGCCTTTTATAAATCATACTCCTATTTTGAGTATAGCAGGCTGTGTTAACAGCTTCAGCCCAGAACCTCTTTGGTAAGGAAGCTTCTGCTAGCATGGTTCTCACTGCTTCCTTCAAGGTTCTATTCCTTCTTTCAGCTACACCATTCTGTTGAGGTGTCCTTGCTGCGGATGTCTGATGAAGAATTCCATTTTCTTCACAATAGTGAATGATGATTTCATTCAGGAATTCTGTGCCTTTGTCAGATCTGATCTTCTGAATGGTCTGACTTGCTTGGTTTTGAATAAGCTTCATGCAGTTGGTGAGTTTCCCTTGAGTCTCCTTCTTGCTGTTGAGGAAGATTGTCCACGTGTATCTTGAGTAATCATCAACTACTACCAGGACATATTTCTTTCCACTTAGACTTATTGGTGTAACAGGGCTAAATAAGTCCATGTGAATAAGACTTAATATCCTTGTAGTTGAGGGTGCCGGTTTTGCCTTGAAAGTGGACTTGACTTGCTTTCCTTTCTGACAAGCATCACAAATGCTTTCCTTTCTGAATACAGCTTTGGGAAGACCTTCTACTAACCCTTCTTTGGACAGCTTGTTGAGAGTTTTGAAGTTGAGATGACTCAACCTCTTATGCCAAAGCCATAGAAGGTTAGTGTCACCTTTGCTGATTAGACATGCTTCCTTGACATTGTCCCACATTACTTCATAGATGTTTCTGATTCTCTTCCCAGTGAGAATAACTTCATTTGTGGAGATGTTCTTGAGAGATGCCGTGTCCTTGCAGAATTCCAAGGAGTAACCTTTATCACAAAACTGACTTATGCTAAGAAGGTTATAATTGAGACCTTCTACATAAGATACAGCTTGGATGGTTAGTCCCTTGTACACCAGATTTCCTAGCCCTTTAGTAAGGCTAAAATCATAGCTTCCTCCAAAAGTAACTCTTGGACCATCAAAGGGAATTAGATTGCTCAAAAGGCTCGCATCACCCGTCATGTGTCTTGAACAGCCACTGTCTAAGTACCAGACACCTGGGTACTTAGCGGCTTCCTGCATTAGGAGGAGGAAGATTTTGGTACCCAATTCAGTTTGGGTCCGGAATAGTTAATGGTGTGTGTCCCTACATCAAGTTTGAAGGTGCAGGGAATTTTCCTTGCAGCTCTAAACTTGTTGGGATTGTAATCATAGTTATAGGCATAAAACTTCCTACGTGCAGGAGGTGCTATTTCTTGTTTCCTCCTAGCAAACCTAGGTTGATAAGACCTATAGTTTTGTCTAGGTTGTGCATAGTGTGGCCTGTGTCGGTTATAAGCATACTTAGGTGGCACAAATAATTTCTGGGGTGGAGGGTGACTATATCTTGGCATAGTTTTCCACTCAGAATTTCTTGGAAAACTCCTATCTACCCCATAATGAGTATAGCCTCGTGTATAGTGGGGGTTAGAGGGTTTTCTTCTAAAATTGTTTCCTCTTTGAGGTCTGTCCAGCTTCCTATAGTTCTTAGGAGGGACTACCTTTTTGGGAACTTCTGTTGGTTTCTCCTTTTCCTTTCCTTTCTGCTTATTTGGTTTGGCAGTAGGTTTAGGAGGGATGAAAGTTGTTCTCCCTTTCCTTTTGGAACTGGAGGGGTCAGACCCAAGTCCTTCACGACCCTTATGTTTGGTCGATTCAAGAAGCTTATCCACTGCTTCTTTGGACTTAAGTATCCCTAGCTCTTTATTAAGGGATTTCACCTTTTCAGAGAGAGATTCATTTTCGATTTAAATTGAGTGATCTCATTTAGTTGACTTTTCCGACCTTCAGTCAACTTGAGATGCTCTTCACTTAACAACTTGTTCTCTTCTGTTAAGGATGAGTGTTTGAGATTTATTTCCTCAAAATCTTCCATCATCTTCTTGAACTGGTCAAAAAGATTTTCAGAAGTTGGTATGCTTTCATGAGAACATGAGCAGGAGGTTTGTGAGGTTACCTCTTGATCAGCATCATCTTTGGCCATTAGGCAGAGAGTGTCATCTTCTGACATAGTCCACCTGTCCTCATGGTTGGACTTCTCAGCTCTGCGCTCCATGCAAACGAGGGCTTCTTCATCCGAGCTTGAGCTGGATGATTCATCGCTTTCAGCAGCAACCATTGCCTTCGTTTTCTTCTCGTTCCTTTCTCTTTCTCCGTACTTCTCCACCTTTGGGTACGGGCATGCTGACTTCCAGTGGCCAGGCTTTCTGCAGTTATAACATAAATAAGATTCAGGAGGGGAGTCACTTACTTGTGGCTTTCCCTTGGTTGGCCTTCTGATTGAATCAGCCTTCTTGAAAAACTTCTTGAACTTCCGGAATTGCTTGACCATCATGGCAAATTCCTCATCGTAGTTCTCCATTTTTGAGCTTGGCGGCTGGCTGGAGGAAGGTGTGTCACAGCTTCTTGGGCATGTCCCTTCACTTGATGGGACTCTTGGAGTTGTCATCAATGCCGTGGGGAAGGGAGTGACTTGTTCTTCCTTCTTCTTCTTCAGCTCGTGCTCATAGGTTCTGAGCTCGTCAAGGAGACCTTGGACAGTGTAGTTCTCCAGGTTTCTTCCTTCTTCCATGGCTGTGGCTTTGGTGTACCACTCAGTTTGAAGTGATCTCAGCAACCTTACATTCTTTTCTTTGGGAGAAAGAACGTGGTTAAGTGATGCAAGATCATTCAATATCTTGTGGAATCTTTCATCCAACATATCAAATGATTCTCCGGGAAGCATTTTGAAGCTTTTAAACTTTTCAAGCAGGACTTCTATCTTCTGCTTTCTCAGGTCCTCTGATCCCTCACATAGCTTCCCAAGACCTTGCCATATCTCCATGGCAGTCTTGAGATGTTTGATTTTGGAGAAGGTGATGGGATCAAGTGTCTTGAAGATGGCTGCTTTGGCGACATTGTCCAGATTGTGCTTTTTGCAATCTCTATCATCCCATTTTTCCTTGGGCTTTGGAATGTACTGGACTACATCTGGAGTTGCTAGATTCCTCTCAGGATTCTCCATTTGGATTTTCAAGGGTCCATCCTCAAGCACCATCCACATGCAATCATGTAGAGCGTAGAGGTGTGCTTCCATCATGATCTTCCAATCATCATAACCTAGAAGAGAAAACTTGGGCAAACCGTGATCCATATCGTTCACCATTATGATCGCTTCTCGTTAATCTAAACGTAGATAGTGAGAAGTTTGCTCTGATACCAATTGGTGGTCCCAAAGTGGTGAGATACAAAGTCTAGAGGGGGTGAATAGACTTTGTTACAGATTTAAAAACTTTTTCGTTTCTTTTGAAAACGTGAAAATGAGTGTTAATCTAGAGTCCTTGTGAACTTTAGATTGTGTGCGGAATTTGGTGGGTAGAGTGAGCAGTAATCAATATGGATGGGTTAGTTTTCACAGTTAATGTAATTGCAAATAAGAGTAAAGATAAAAGAGAGAGACACGCAAACTTTAACGAGGTTCGAAGGTGGGGTAATCCTTCTACGTCCTCAAAATCCACTATGTAGTTGGTTGTTGAATAATGAACCAACAATTACACTTGTGTGAATTTCTGCACGGTATATCTTCGCAAGACCAATGTTGCTACTGCACTCGTGCTGGCTTTGTTGTTCCTTCGAAGGTCACGCTTCTTCAACAACTGCAA